CCGGTTGTCCAGCGGGGTCATTTTGCAGCATGACTACGCAATGCCACACAACACAAACGCTACGAAAGACTGGATCCAAAGATTCTGCTGGTAAGTTTTACCACACTCCCCTCATAGTCCTGACTTGGCCCTATCAGATTATCACCTTTTCGGACCAATGAAACGCCATATTTCTGGACAGCGATTCACCGACGACGAAGACCTCGTGAGAGAGAGAGAGAGAGAGAGAGAGAGAGAGAGAGAGTGAGATTAAGGGGGGAGGGTGTCAGCGGATCCCACATTCTGGTTCCAAGCATTTTTCATTCTAGTTCATGCGGTTGAAAAGAAATAAAATCTGGACCAGTACAAACAATGGCCCTAAGATATAAGAAACTTTATCAAGCAAATAATTGCATCAGAGAGGGCCTATTTCGAGAGGCGCCCCAATCTTCATGCTACGCATTGAAAGGCTTTGGGCAGGAGAAAAAAAGGAGGGGGGGGGGGGGTGAGGCTCTGTGAAAGGGAAACACTTGGCTCTAAAAAGTCTCGTTTTCTTTACACTTTCGAATGAAATTAGGCACAATTAAAGGTCAGTGATTATAAAACCGACCTAAATTGATTAACTCTTCAAACTGGAGTTAAAAAATATCTAAGCTATGTATTTCCCTGCCTTGTATATATTTCAAACAATGAACAGAGCTAGCCAAAAGCTCAAGACTAAAAATGCGTGACGTCACAGCTAGGCGCGATGTATTGTGGAAGGGTTCAGCTAGGATTTCGTGGATTTGGTTGATAAAAGGGTAAAACTACACTATCAAATGTACAACTTGTAAGATAACTATTTAAACGTTTCCTGGTAAACCAAAAAGTGGTTTATCAACAAGGGTAGGTTTGTAAAAATATGACGAGACGATTAAAAAAATAAAACAAGCAATGGTTATAAATTGTCTATTTTTTATCTTGAAATAACTCGATACTCGTGTGTCGCACATCTTTTACTTTTACTTTTATCCGCCGCTTATACCCCCTTGGGTGTCGCGGGAATAAAGAGGCGTCTCTCTGCCACCAGCCAGACAACTTGGGTTATGGGGATGCCATGAGTTGTTAGTGTTTCTCTGACTCTATCTATCCAGGTCTTTCTCGGTCGCCCTCTTGTATTGTTGCCATTGGGTTTTTTTATGTAGGCACGTTGTGCTGGATGGTGTGATGGTAATCGCATGAGCTGTCCAAACCATTTGATTCTTTGTTGTTAAATGTGATGCATGATATCATTTGTGCCCACCATTTTTCAGATTACTGAGTTTCTAATTTTGTGTCACATGGTCTTGTTTATTGCTTTTCTAAGACATTGCTTTTCACATGTTGTAATTCTTTGCTACAATGTCTTGTTTGTGGTTCATGTTTGGCATTGATAGGTGAGTGTTGGAATGAATGTGGTGTTGATCATTTTGAGTTTTGTTGTCTTGGGGATGTTAGGATATTTCAGTTGTGGAGTAAGCTGGTAACTAACATTATTGACCTTTTGTACTCGTGTTTCAATTTCTCTGTTCAGTCGCCCATCCTCTGTGAATATACTTCCGAGATACCCAAACTCTTGGACCTGTCTGAGACTGTTGTTGTTGATGTGTATCCTGAGTGGTCCTAGCTTTCTGCTTACTTTCATTGTCTCTGTTTTGTTGATGCTGATCTTCATGTCGTAGTTGTTACATTCTTCGTTTAATCTGGTGGTGTGGTGTTGGAGACTTCGTTCATCTTTGTGTGCTAGGCTTTGGTAATCAGAGAAGAGTAATTCCTTTTGGGCGTCTGGTTCTGTGTCGGCCTGTTTTGTAATTCTATCCATATATATGAGATATAATAGTGGTGGTAGAACACAACCCTGTCTTACTCTGTTGTTATCTTGAACTATTGTGTGAGTCCCTCCGTCGTTCTTACTGTACTTATGCTGTTCTTGTAAATGGCATGGATGTTATCTAGAAGTTGGCCTCTTACAGTGTAGTTTTTGAGTTCTTTCCACAGCTTGTTTCTGTTCACTCAGTTGAACACTTTCTCCTGGTCGATAAATACTATGTTTAATTCCTTGTTGTGTTCTTTCGCACATTTGTCGTAGGGCAAATATTGCGTCGGTGCATCTTCTTCCCTTTCAAAATCTCATTTGGGCCTCACTCAGAAAAGGTTCAACTTTGTGTCTTGTGCACCGTTCCAATATCTGAGCAAACATCTTGCCCACATGGCTTAGCATTGAAATTCCAAAGTCTCTCTTACTGTCTTTCTTCTTCCAAATTCGTACTATGATCGCTTTTTGCCAGTCGCCGGGAACTTTTATTTCTCTCCATGCTTTCTGGAAGATTTTTGTGAGCCAAATTATTCCAGTTTCACCACATGCTAGGATGGTTTCTGTGGTAAGCTGCTTGTTTTTTTGTGTTTTTTTTTTGGGGGGGGGGTGGTTTTCACTGCCTGTCTGACCTCTGATGGTAGGATGGTTGGTTCTTCTTCCTCTGGTTGACGTGGTTGGAATTCTATGTTTTGTTTGCTTTTGAGTGGTGTTCAAAAGTTCAGAGAAATACCCCCTTCATCTAGATTTGATTTTGGAGCTGTCGATAATGGGGTTTCCTGCCTTGTCATTAATCATAGCTGTTGGGTCGTACGGTTCTTCTCTGAGCTTCATTGATTTTACACTTCTGTAACAGTCATGTGGTGATTTATGGCACAGTTCGCTTAAGTGTTCTCCATATTTTGCACATGATTCATTTTTTGATGCTATAACAAATGTTTTGCAGTTCCTTCTTGCTAGTCTGTATTGCATGTAGCCGTTTTCTTCCTTGGATTTTATCCATTTCTGAAAAAGTTTCTTCTCTTTTTAGACGGCCTCTTTGACGCTGTCATTCCACCATGGTGTTCCTTTAATGGGTCCTCTCCCAATTCCCTTCTTTCCACATACTTTTATCAGTGTTTCTGTAAGCAAGTTTTAAAAGACAGCCAATGTTTCTTCAACGTTCATTGCACTAGTGACTTGCTTTTCTAGTCTCTTTGCGATCTCGTCCTCAACTTTCTGAACATTGCCCTCTTCAGTGAGTTTTCGTAAATCAATTTTCTCTGAATGTTTCTTCTCCTGTTTTTGCGTGGGTTTTTTTTCTTCTCTTTACTCGTCATCATCACTCGTCGGTGATCTGTATCAGGGATGATGTTTGGGATTGAGCTCGGATCAGTTGTTTTTGTTCTGTGGGCGATTCGTCTCAGTATAAAGTCAATCTGTGAGGAAATTTCTAGGTTGTTCCATTTGTACCACGACTGAGTTTGACTTGGCCTGTGCTGATAAAAAGTATTTGTGATGAATAATTCATACTCTGCACAGAGAGTTAATAGTTGTTCCTCATTATTGTTACAATCTGAACTGGTGTCACCGTGTTGTCCAAGGTAGTTTTCCCGTGGTGTCCTTTTTGGGGCTACGTGCCCATTGAAGTCTCCCATCATGATTAGTTCCTCCTCATCAGGTACGCCGTTTATGGCGTTCTCCAACTTCTGAAAACATTCTTCTACATCTTCCCTTACGTGTTGTTACAAGGGGCGCAAACTTGGATGATAGTTTCACTTTTTTGCGCTTTCCGTATTCTGGTTTTCAGGTTCTTTTCAGATATTAATTCTTTCTTTATAACCCTTTCTGCCGTGTCAGGTTGTATTATGAATCTCACACCCTGAATTGCTCTCTCTCTCTCTCTCTCTCTCTCTCTCTCTCTCTC